CAGGGGCATTCCAGTAATTTCTTGTATCCTGTACTACATTCAAATATAAATAATAGCATGGTCGACTGGCAAGTATAGTTCGATAGTATAGTTCGACTGGCAAGTATAGTTCGACATTCCAGCATCTCTTCTTCTTCTCCTCTTTTCTGCTACTTCTGCTACAGTAGTTCAGCTTTCATGGTATCAGAGCATTGAGCACCTTCCTGGTTACAGCCGACGCCATCTCCTCTCTCTTGCTGTCTTTCTTCTTTTTTTTATCTGGGTTGCTGCTGTGAAACCTAGGGTTTCAGGAGAACAACACAAGGTTCGACCTAGGGTTTCCCTTGGTTGTAGGGCGCAAGGGAGGTAAGACCCAGAAGCTGATGTCCTACTAGTTTCTATTAGTTAGCAGCTATTCGGCTGCTAAGAGAGGTCTGTATAGAACAGACCTAGTTGAGGACTGATTTCAGCAGTCCTAGTGTTGGCCGTAAGGAGGGAAATCTCTTTACAGTTGCAGTACTCGAAGTTCAAGTGGAGTCTGCATAGCACAGGTCGGTTACCAGCCCAGAACACCTCATTTGCAGCTGTAACTAAACTGCTTCAGAACTGTGACAGTCTCGGCAAGTCTGAAACTGTGTTGCGAGCTGTCAGGGCCTGCTGAGGTCACTTCGGCTAATCAGAACTGGTTCAGAACTTTCAGAACTGCTTCAGAACTCCTTCAGAACTGCTTCAGAACCTTCAGAACTTTCAGAACTGCTTCAGCTAGTCTTAAATCAGTGCCATCTGCACAGAGGCTGCAGTCAAGATGTCTTCAATATCCGGAGATGTTTCTTCTAGGGATAACAGACCTGCGGCAAGGTCTTCAAATCTGGAAAACCCTAATCTGCACAGCCTGCAGATTACAAGTGTTCTACTGGACGAATACAACTTCAGGGAATGGTCCGTTTCTGCAATGCTATTTATTACTTCCCGTGACCTCACAGGCTACCTATATGGAAGCAAGAAGGAACCTGATGTTGGCAGTGCAGACTATGCTGTGTGGCGCAAGGAGAATGCCATAGTTATGTCCTGGTTGCTTGCCTCTATGACTCCTCGGGTTGCCAGGACTGTTCATCACTTTCCTACAGCAGCCAAGATTTGGGAAAAGGTGTCTAAGACCTATGGACAAAAGAAAAACAATGCTAGAATCTATAGATTGAATCAAGACATTGCTGCCTTAAGGCAAGGTGATATGACAGCTGCAACATACTTTGCAACTCCGGAAAGTCTTTGGGAAGAACTTGACCATCACTTGATATTAGATTGGGAAAATGCCAGGGACAAGGAGAGACATGATAAGCAAATTGAAGAGAGCAGAGYCTTCAARTTYCTGGCTGGCCTAGACCCARTRTATGAGGGTATAAGGTCACAAATTCTAGGGAGAGATGAATTACCGGAGCTTCACCATGTCTATTACCTGGTGAGGAATGAAGAAGTCAGGAAAAGGGAGATG